TCATTACCCATTTAAGCCGTCTCCAGCCATTATTAGTCTCAAAGTGGGTTCCTCGTCATCGAATTTGAAAGATCTACTAGATATTATTTAAATTATAAATATATCAATTCATGTGAATATGACTGAAAAATTATATTTTTTTCTGAAAAGGTGGTGTCTATTTACTTGTGACCACGCTGTGTACGTACATGTATGCTTTACTGAAATAACATGGTAGCATGCTCCATTCTTCTGGGTGCATTTCCCTAAATAATTTACATACAGTTTCGAGGTTGATAGCAATGTCACAATGATTATGTATATTAATGCTAGAGCGCTCATTAGTTACACTGAAGCACGCTCTGGGGTATGTCCTGGAGAGGTATAGAAAAACCATCTTGTCTTCTTTCGTTGAAGTTCTTCAGTAAAAATGTCAGGATTTGGCAAGTTTCCCTATAAAAATCTGTCTGATATTAGAGATAGAAAACAGTTGTGTGAGTTTTGATGGCATAAGTTTCTGAATTTATGCTCCTTGCTTTACATGTGGATCAAATCAGGAGAAAAGGTTACTGATAATGTGGTAAAGAAAAGGAATGGTTACTGTTTGCTTAAGTAATCCTTCACGGAACTGTATTCTGTATTTGTACGTTAGGCTTGTCGTTGACTAACTTGTGGCATGCTAACATTAATATTGGACTTGTTTGCAACATTACTGCTGTGCCTGAAGATGCGATGTGAATATCATCTACCTTTGCTTTTAGTGAAGTCAGTTATTTACAACATTGTTCTGTTAGAGAAACACGAGAAACGAAAACTCGTGCGAACCCTCCTCCAGCGTAAGTGCGTGTCGAATGCATCAAAATAGTTGTGACATATCTTAGCCTTAATAATTTTGAACTTAATCCAGGGATTACAATATCTGAACTTACCGGAGGTCCTTAAGACGTAGTATAATATAAAGTAAACTTCTATTATGTTATCTTGATAACTTTGTTTTATTCTCTACATAAACTTGCAAAACAGGAAATAATTAAACACAGAAATGTCGCAAATTTAGCATGAACAACAATTTATTCATAAAACAAAATAGCCTGTAATATCTTTTACTGCCAAGTTATTGCTAAATTAAGCAGTAAACATCTGGTGTATTTTTATACAAAATTATTGATTACTGTCACACAACGACAGAGTCACTTCCATATTGGGCTTTATTGCCTGGGTAGGGTTTCCACAGAACTCTGCATATTTCAACTGGCGCCCTCTAGAAAACACATGAAATCATGACAAAGTTATACAATACACATCATAATACTAACATTCAAATAAATTATAAAGAAACTTGAATATTTTATTAACCAATTTATCGTATTCACAAAAGTTACATTGAACTTTCTGTATGATTTACAGAATAATGCTATTTCCTTTTTCATAATTTCCGATCTTACTCTTTGTTTGCTTAATGACTCGTAACACCACTTAAATTATGAAATGTTTTAATAATCAGTTATAACCTTTATATCAACTGTATAGGATTTAATTATGCAGACTATACTTAGTTAGCTAGGAATGTTCCATATTACTTTTCATTTCAGAAGTTAGTACAGAAAAGCGTGTGTTGGAAAAACGTAGGTTTTTAAACCTGAAAAAAAACATCACTTGGAGATATCGTTGTAGTTTTCAGAATATGATCATAAAACTGCTGAGAGGTGTTTGTTTGTTTTGAAGTTCGCGCAAAGCTACACGAGGG